GAGCTGATGCGTTATTATTAGGGTGTATACATAGGTAGCTTGGATCAACACTTTGCTCCTTTTTATGCCTGAAGGTGAAGGAGGCCACACAGCGAAGGTTGTAGGACCAGTGGTTGTCACATGTCTCAATGCTAGTTCTGCAGTGTAGGTGGAAAGTACACAGTGTGATACAGATGAACTTCTTAGAATTAGTAGGAGTCTGCATTATGGCTTCCATGTTGTAAGAAGAATGGTGTGAGGGTCACGAAGCAGAGGAAGCACTTGATGAGCCTAAGTGAGTCCTGGTTGTTGTGTTGTTATTATAGCAGTGCTGATAACAAAGTTGGCATCAGTAGCACTCAAATCCTTGGAATTTAAAGAGGACAGAGGACGTTGAATCCAGCCAGGGCATCAGGTTTCCAGGCAGATAATCCAGAAGCTGAAGGAGGCCACTCAGCAAAGGTCTGGGACCAGCAGAAGGACAGTTCAGGAATGAAAGGTGTAGCTTAGGCTGGCTAGAGATCTGATTAGCCAGAAGCAAGCAATGACATATAGTAGGCTCCTGGAAAATTAAACCTGGAATTACAAATGATCCAGCAATTTCACATTTAGGTATGCACAGTAAAGAAGGAAAATATGAGATTCAAATGGCTATCTGTACGCCATGTATTTAGAGGCATCGTTCATACCAGCTAAGATGTAGAAGCCGCCCAAGTATTCATGGACAGATGAGCAGATTTTTTGAATGTGGCATATACACACTTTGTTGATAAACCTAAAAACTGAATTCTGTTACTCATCATAACATGAATAACCCTTGTGGACAGAGTGCTAACTGAAACAAGCCTGTCCCAACTACTGTATTATTCCACAGAAATGAGGCACTTCGAGTAGGCCAATTCCTAAAGAAAAAGGTGGGACAGCTGTTGCTGGGGATGGGAGAAGAAAAGATGGGATTAGGGCTTCCATTTCAGAAGATGAAGAAAGTTCTGAAGATTAATAGTGGTGATGGTTTCACATTGTGAATGTACATAATGTCACTGAACTGCATAATTGAAAGTAGTTAAAATGACAATTGTTAAAAAATATTTATGTATTTGCTACAGGGTCTCACTACACAGCTCAGACTTGTAGTGATCCTCCTGTTTTCAGCCTCCCCAGCCTGGGGATTACAGGTATATGCCACCACGCCTTGACTCTGTGCTTGGCTCAGCATACCCAGGGGCAGGCCCAGCACAGCCTGTGGTGCTGGGGATTGAACCCCAGCCTCCACACTGGCCTAAGCAGCCACTTAGTCCACTGACCTGTCTCGCTGGCCTAAAATGACAATTTTTTTTGCAATATATATTTTGCCACAATGACAAAAAAATGGTAGAATGAAAGCTTAGGTGTCCTGATGCTCTCGTTCTGTGCAAGTACCACAGCTAAACACTTGAGGCACGTGTTGACAGTCACAGCCAAAGAATTGTAGTTGGGAACTTCAGAATGGAATGGTGAAATAATTGCAGATTACTACAAAGTCTGGGCCAACATTTCTCATCCACATATGGAGGAGCCAAACACTTTGCCAAAGACGAGTAGCATAATACAGGTGAGAGTGTGCAAAAAGGAGCAGGCGTATGCATGGTCTTCCAAGGTGGCGTGGTGTCTTCTCTATTCCCGAGGACGCTGGAGAGCAAGAGAAAAGTAGAGCTTTGATAAGAAGCAGCTCAGAGATAGAGTGGATTTATCAAGTGCATAGACATGAGGGTGGCCGAGGACTAATGACAGCAAAACTCGGAAAGGCAAAAAGGAGCACAGCCACACTGTTAGTAAGATCGGGAGGCGCAGAGGGTGGTGCATCTGCAGCGCATGGGCCTCAAAGGTGGCATTTTCAGTTCACGGTGGAGAAGCAGTGGTTTTCAGTGGCTTACAAGGAAGTAGGAAGAATGACTTACTCTTACCCAGATGCCTTTTTCAGGAGTGGCAGTACTCTGAAAATGAGCTGTATCCAGCTAAGAGAGCAGCAGTACAAGAAGTAAGAGCACAGGCCTGCGCTTGTTAGCCCAAGCCTCATATTAAGACCACATGAAAGGCAATTTTTAACATGTCTTGATGCCAGTGGAAGCTAAATCATGGTGTGTGCCCCAGTTTCTCTGACCAGTATGTAGAGCTTTTCCAAAGAGGGAGCCTGCTTTTATTCCCCCAGCCTCAGCTCCACCTCGTAGCTCAGGACCTGGTAACGGTACTGACAAATCCCTCAGATGCAGTCCTTGGAGCTCAAGGCTTCCTTCTTCATTCTTTGTTTCCAAAATCATGTTCCTTGCTGTAGACCTGTTTCTGAGGAGTAAATTAAAAAGATGTAGATAGATAGATAGATAGATAGATAGATAGATAGATAGATAGAGAGAGAGATCTTAGTTTGTTTTTCTTGGTTGTACCTAGGTTAAAATTTATTGTGATAGAGCTGGGCATGTAGCTTCATGGAAGGATGCTAGCCTAGCCTATCTAGGCCCTCAATTTGATCCCCTGCACCACACAAATAAAAAAACTTTTATAATAAAACTCATTGAATAAAATAGAAAGTGATGACTGTATTTTAGCTATCAAAAATATATTTAGGGGCTGGCCAAATAGCTCAGCTGATTAAAGCACCTGCAAGCAGGCTCAGGGGCCAGAGGTTCCATCCCTGGGCCTGCTGTGCTAACCCCACCCCCGGGGCGCACTGAGATGGCAAATTGAGACCGGGTGTGGTGGCACGCGCCTGTAATCCCAGCTCTTGGGAGGCTGTAAAGAGGCAGATCATTACGAGTCTGATCTAGTAGTAAGACCCTGAACACCCTGCAGACCCTTTCCTAAAATACAAATATATATATATATATATATATATATATATATATATATATGGAAAATCTTTTCTGTCTGTAGTTACTTATTTGAAGATGATGCTATAAGGGAAATATCCTAAAACCTTTTCCTAAAATTTTGTCTTAAAGTATCCCTAATATTTATGATACCATTTAATGTTAGCTAACCTACATAGGATTAGGCTTTATTTTCTTTACAATATAAAGGAAATAGGGGACCGCAAAAAGGGGTTAAGGTAGTATTTTCCTTGACCCCTAGTGGGTACCAAGCAACAGGTGCTCAAGCTGTTAAAGTTTGGCCCAAGATCTATGGTCACCCTCTTCTGTGAGTACTTCTAGTTTTAAAAGTCAAAGTTATACAGTGTTTATAATTTTTTTTATTTCAAGCTTTTTGTATTAGCTAGAAGGTAGGAAATAAAAGCCATTTATTCTTTACATATTGGTCAACTTTGCCCTCCCTCAATACCCTTCCCAACAACTTAAAGATATTTATTTCAGCTCATGGTCTTGGGAGTTCGATCCATGGCTAGTTGTCTCTAAGGCAGAAAGACATGGGAGAAGGGCATTGTGGAGGAAAACTGTTCCCCTCCTGGCTACCAGGAGGTGGAGAGGGAAAAAGATTGTGGAGGGACAACCCCCCCAGAGGTTTGCCCCACCAACATACCTCTTCCCACCAGACCCCACCTTCTTCTAGCACACGTAGCTATTACTTCATCAGTGGACCCATCCACAGCAGAGAGAGAGCCCTGTGATCCAGTCACCTTCTGAATCCCCACCTGTGATTGAGGGTGCATTTCAGAACTGCACCGTAATACACTGATCATGGGAAGGTCCCCATTGTACAGACAGCAAATTGTTTTCATCTTTAAGGAAATTATGTTAAACCAGATACAAAGATTATCCACACCACTAGATAGGGCTTGCTCCTCTGGATGTGCATTTGTGCATGCAGTTGTGGATGTATGTGCACATGTGTGTAGGTGGTGTGTGGCATGAAACCCACACTCTTGTCTATGCTAGCCATGTGTCCTGCCACTGAGCTACATTCCCAGCCCTGATTCATTTTTAAGGTAACACTGTAATTAGGGGCACTGAAATATTGTACCACACTTCCCATATTGGTATGGAATGGTGTTCCAGCCTTATTGTGGGCATCCTTTCAGCATTTTGTTTGCTGAAACTCTAAGAAACAAAATTGCTGGGGCCAAGGAGATGGTTCAATAGAAGAAGCTCTTGCCTGGCAAGCACAAGGATCTGAGTCCAATCCCCAGTTCTGGAAAAAAAAAAAAAAATTGCTGCCTCCTCTCCCTACTGTAGGTGGGACTCTTCTTGCACTCAGCGGGGAACAGTGTATCCTGTCCAGCCCTTTTCTTGCCGAGAGACTGGCACTTTACTTAACCCATTTATTTTGGCATCTGCAGACAGTTTCATACACACAAGAGGCCCCCGGAAAGATTTGAGCATTGATGTCTAAAAGAGTACTCTAGTGCTTTCTTTCCACAATCTTGTGTACATTTTTTAAAGTTTGTCTATTTTGGTAAAGAAGGATCCTTGCTCTTTAAAGTAGGTTTCTTTTACCTTCCCTCTCTCCCCATCCCTCCCTTTCTCTCACCCTCCTTTCTCTTCTCCCCTTCTGGCTCCTGTCCTCCTCCCCCCGCCCCAGAAGTTGATGAAGTTCCAGTGGACTGAGAACTTTTCACGAACCCGTTGAGACTGAGAAACCATCTCTGCAGTGCTGGCCTGTCAGAACATTTAGAATATATGAGCAAAATACTGCATTTAGGTCTTGCTTATGTGGAGTGATTACTCCATAAGTAAATGTCTGGTTTTCTGCCTTTCTTCCTAGTGCCAGAATTCCTGTGCACTTCATAAGAATGACTGTAGATGTGGGTGTAGGATGGAAGGTCTTTCAGTTGAAGCCATGTAGATGCACTGTAAACCAGATGTCCAAGTCCACAATTACTAGGACTTAGAAAGGTATAAAGTGGGTCAAAAGGTCTAATTGTATCTCATGATGAGTGTTGCATTTGGCTTCTCAGAGTCCATAGAGAGTTGGCGTGTGCTTCATAGAGTCACTCTCTCTTCTCTTTGTTTTGTTCCTTTTTTCACCTGCTGAGCCAACTCCTCTTCCTCTGCCACCGTGACCATTTGTGGCATTCAACTTGGATTTTAAAGGTTTCCATCCCAATAACGGGAGGCCTGGACGTGGTTGCCATGTTGACGGATGATGCGACAGTGGCCACCTGGAGTAATGAGGGGCTGCCCAGTGACAGGATGTCGACTGAAAACGCCACCATCCTGACACACTGCGAACGCTGGCCCCTGATGATAGATCCTCAGCAGCAGGGAATTAAGTGGGTCAAGAACAAGTATGGAGCTGACCTGAAAGTCACACATGTAGGCCAGAAAGGGTATGTGAATTCTCACGGGGTTGGCTTTGTGTTTAGCTGTTATGCAATGGTTTTTCATCGAGTCTTGACTTTTCTAAAGTCTTGGCATTTGTTAGGCCTCTCTACCACCTTAAAATATTATAGTTTGGTGATATTTGTTTTCCTGCCCATGTTTCATATAAAGTATCTCTATTGAAAAGTTGTATGTGGACTGGTGAGATGGCTCAGTGGTCTAAAGCACCTACTTAGAACAAGCTTAGCAAAGCACATGGACCGCAGTTCAATCCCCCAGCACCACATGCCAGCCAACCCCGCCCCTAGGCGGGCTGAGCTGGCCACACACACGCACACATAAAGAAAATAAATTTAATAAAAAAAAAAAAGAAAAGAAAAGTTGTATGTGTGAGGCAGTAGTCACATAAGGTGAAAAATCATATTGAAGGAATGAACATTGTGACTCAAAGGACTAATAACTAAATTTCCTAAGGCTAAGAATGGAAATGTCTGTTGTATTCTTTCTCTAGAGTAGTGGGCAGACAGTAACACAGGGAAGGCCAGCTATGCCTCTGGGCTCAGTGATGGTTACACTTACAGTCCTCACTGTACTCTTGTCTATGGTAGGACCTTAACATGACCTTAAGTGCCCAAAATGGATGTCTGATCGCATAGCTATTTTATACATCACTCCTGAGAATGGAGTCTGCTCTGAGACTTTGTCACTGGATATTTGTGACAGCATTTTCTGTTAAACAGAAAGCTGTCTGTTGGTATTCGCATAATGTTAAATAAATTATTTGGGACCTATTAATACTTCACTTAACTCCACAGGTTATTCACATGTAAAGTGAACTAAGAAATACTTAAAGTTATACAGGCCTGTATGGTCCTTGCTTACCTGAATATTTGGAGAAAACTCACTTTGGTGGAGAGACATTACTTTTAGAGAGTTGGAATAACATTACAGTTAAACATTTCACATGATTGAATTTAAAGATTTAGAAACTAAAGATTGAAAAACCATAAGACATTTAATGTAATTTAAATTTGTGGAGTTTTTTTTTGTTTGTTTGTTTGTTTGTTTGTTTGTTTGTTTTCAGACAAGATCTTGCCATATATTCTAGGCTGGCCTTGAACTCAATGTGGCATCAGGCTGGCCTCAAATTCCCAGTGATCCTCCTTCTTCAACATCCCAAGTACTAGGATTATAGCTGTGCACCCCCACAGCCAGCTAGTGAATTTAAATTTAAGATGTTTGATTCATTTACATTTGTTTCAACCATCGGTGATTGTTGAAAGCGACTGATTTTCCCTTGGCAAATATGACTGCAAGATTTATCTCAAAATCTAGTCTGGTGGCCCAGACCTGTAATCCTAGCACTCATGAGGCTGAGGAAGGGGTGTTACTGAGAATTCTAGGCTACATAGTTTTTAGGACCATCCTGAACCACATAGCAAGACCCTGTCTCAAAAACTAAAAACAAAACAAACTCATGTCTAATATCTATCTAATCCAGTTAAGGATACTACTTTATAAAAATTTTTTGTTAGTATCACTGAAATATATACATTAAATAAAATGTATTCATATAAGTAATTCTGAATGTTGTTCTTGTGCTTATTTTTATGTTTATAGTCTCAATCTTGGTTGAATTTTCAGGTTTTTGAATGCCATTGAATCTGCTTTGGCTCTGGGGAATGTCATCCTAGTGGAAAACCTTGAAGAAACAATAGATCCAGTTCTTGACCCACTGCTCGGGAGAAACACAATTAAAAAAGGAAAGTAAGTGTTCTTGTACTTTTAATAGATCTTTTAATCATCAGTGTCTGGGGGTGAGTTGGGGGGGGGGGGTTAGCCTCATAGCCAGGCACAACCAGTTGGCATCTTCTTGGTGACATTTGAGTTTCCAGTCCCTAGTGCCTACACTCCAAAAGAAAACCACCCTTGGTATGATGCAGATTTTCAGACTGTGAATTCCTGATTTAAGGGCCAAAAATACATTGCCACTAATCTAAGAATGCTTTACCCTTTAATAGTTTATACTAGGGGCTGGTGAGATGGCTCAGTGGTCTAAAGCACCTACCTAGAACAAGCTTAGCAAAGCACAGGGACCACGGTTCAATCCCCCAGCACCACATGCCAGCCAGCCCTGCCCCCTGGTGGGCTGAGCTGGCCACACACACACTAAATAAATAAATAAATAAATAAATAAATAAAATACATTAAAAATTTTTTTTTAAAAATAGTTTATACTGACAGTTCTGTAACTTTGGTAGTTTTCAAAAAAAATATGAGTATGTTTACCTGATCTATATATTACTTGTGTGCTTATTTTCTTAATATATTTCTTCTCATAGCTTTGTCACTGCTTTTTAAATCTGTCTCTTCAGGGTAATTGTATCTACAGAATCGTACTGTGCTAGCTGTGGTTTTTCTAATACGCTTACCAAGAGCCATTCAAAAAAAAGTTCTTCACTAGATAACTGATCCCTACACTAGCAAATGACAGGTTAGTAACAACAGGGAACCTCATCCTATCTTATCCACAGTAAGCTACATGTGAGTGTGCCAATGGCTGCCATTCCTCACGGGCACTACACTTTCCAGAACAGCCTTCCATGATCACATGAAGGCAACTCCAAAGAGTCGTCATGTTACTTTTCTATAAACGTGTGACAGAGACGTAGTCATTATCTCTAATAATTATTTAATAATTTTAAAATTTTCTAAACATAGTAATTGTGTCTGATAATTATTTAATAATTTTAATTAATAATTGTTAATTATCTAATAATAATTACATTACAAAAGGGAAATGGTTGCTTTCCAAAATCCCCTTATGCCTCTTCAATCAAGAAATCAAGTCACTGAACTTATTTCCTTGGACTTCCTGCTTTTTTTTGTTTTGTTTTGTTTTTTGAGTTTCCACACACAGATACAATTTGAAACTTCCCCATCCTCATTCTTCTTTTTATTTTTTTCACTTTTTTTCTCTTTATTGGAGTCAAAATTGACAAATAAAATTTTTAGCAAGAAATATGAAGTATTGACATATGTATAAACTGAAATGATTATCAAAATGAAGCTAATTATCATATTTACCTCCTTGTCCTCATTCTTCTTAATGCCTACTCTATATCTAAGGTATCTCTCTCCTTTTTCATCATTTGACTATTCCTGTCAACTTTACATAGAAATGGGCCTACTTAAGAGTGACTAACTTCTGAGTCTAAGCAATTAGTATAGTATTTATTATCCAAGTCACCCAGTAAATCTATTTAGAGTGACTGACAACTTATAATTGTTTAATAAACCAAAATTTACCCAGACATGCATTTAGAACAGTCTAATAAGCCACACTTGACAAACTATAACTCTTAACATAAATATAATTGTAGCTGTGTCTGATGTGATAAAAATACAGTGTAAAATCTTGAATGTCACTGATGTGAAATCCTTATTATTAAGGCACTGACACTATTATGAAGGCCTAAAATTTTTGTCAGAAAAATACATATTCTCTGAGCTTTAACTTCAATTTTCAATAGCGCAATTTAAGTGTAAGAGATTTGATGATTCTCCACCACATATATTTGGATAATCTGAAATTCCCAAAGAGTTATATTTTTTTTCACTATGGATAGTTACGTATCAATGAAAGTTGAGAGGTCTTTGATTTTTAGAACAAAGTTAGAATACCAGGACTTTATCATAAAATCAGTCCATAACAATTTATTCCAAAATAACATTTACTGAATATGCATTCTCTGTTAGGCCTTATAAGGCCTCTGTAGAGCTGATTACACTATTTAAGAACCTTTTTTAAATGCCAAGAAAACTTAAGAAACTTCATAAGAACATAGTAAATAATAATTATTTCATGAAGTTTTTAATAATCCTAGCTTCTAAACTTCTGTCTGGTCCCGGGGAGATAGCTCAGTAGAATAAGCGCTTGCCTGGCAAGCACAGGGGCCTGAGATCAATCCCCGGTTCCAATAAATAAATAAATAAATAAATAAATAAATAAATAAATAAAACATGTCTGTGAGCAAATATTGTTGGGGGTAAGTTTTAGCTTTATTTCTCTAGTATTTTCTACTTCATCCCTCAAGGCAGATGATTTTAATGTCAACCCAGAGATGACAGGTGTTACTGGAGCCCTTTTGTATCCTCTCAGTCACTAAGTTTGGGGCTGCAGATTCAAACACATTTGAGGAAGCTGTCTCCCTTGGGTGAAGGCAACACACAATAATGTTCTTCTATAGACAATAGGAGTGTAGGGTCACTGGTGGGATGATGAACGCATATACAGCAGAAAGTCCTTAGTTCCACAGTAGAGACCTACAAAGTCTTTATGGAAGAAGTTGTATTCGATTACAGGTGACGTTTACTGTTAAAAAAAAAATCACCAGGCACTTTTCAGGCCATCGGGTAAAAGAAGAAAAGCTTAGACAAAGAGGTTCAGCACAGAACAGTGAAACGGGTGAAACAACCCAACGGTTGTGGAGAGCTGCAGGCACAGTCCACTCAGGAGGAAAGTCTGTTGGGAAGAAGATGGGAAGGGCTGAAAGGGATGAGGCTGAAGGCATAAGCAAGGCAACGAGTGTGGGTGTCCTTGGTTGGCCTTTCCCTGCGGCTAGTTCTTCCTCTTAACACACACACACACACTCAAGAGAGCAATTCCTATCAACGACACTAGTTGACAACACTTGCTTTTCACCAAAGAGCCAAAACTCCCTGGAGTGTCCATATTTTCATTGAGAATACTGAGCATAAGTCAGCAGAGAAGCTAAAGAAGACTCTCAGGCATGCTGGACGTAATGTGGTCAGGTCTGCTTTTCTTTTCCTTTCTTTTTTTTTTTTTTTTTTGGTGGAACCGGGGATTGAACTCAGGCCCTTGCACTTGCCAGGGAAGCACTTATTCTACTGGGCCGTCTCCCCGGCCCCTAGGTCTGCATTTCTGAAGGGAGGCGCAATTGCCAGTGTGAAGTATCAGTGGGAGGAGCCTAGATAAGGCCCAAGTCTAGTTAGCCAACAATTGCAGGTACCCCACTGAGATATAATCTGAGCCTAAAGAGAAACAGTGATAGTGAAATAGACAGAGAAGGACAAATCAAAGAGTTCGTACCAGTTCATGGGTTGTTTGTTTTGGTTTTGTTTTGTTTTGTTTTGTTTTGTTTTGTTTTGTTTTGTTTTTGTGGAACTGGGGATTGAACTCAGGCCCTTGCGCTTGCCAGGGAAGCACTTATTCTACTGAGCTATCTCCCCGGCCCTTAATTCATGGTTATTAATTGAATATTATTGGTAAGGAACAAGGAAGGACCAGGTGTGAGTTCCAGTTTTTAGCTATGTAATTTATGGAGAAGGGTATTGTAGGAGGGTAAGGAGGGAAGTAATAATTTAATTTATTAGACACTGAAAGATAGAAGTACTGTTTTAACTTCCGTTCCCAAAATAGTCTTTTAAAAACTATTGGTTAGCACTCAGGCAGAAAAGTTCTTCTCTAACAATCCTAGAAAAAACTATCAGATATATGACCATAGAGTTCAATAGGGAAATCTTGAACAATCAGGCACGTTGGAAATAATTATGTAGAGAAGGTTTAAACCATCAAGATAGATGTGATTATCCAAGGAGAAACTATTCAGTCAGAATAGAAGGTATCCTTTCTTTATATGAGGAATATGGGGAAAGCCTAGTTGGTGTCTTTTTTGGATGTTCTTTGACTATTTGAAGTTTAAGTGTTTGGAGACCTAGATCCTTAAATAGATTCTCCAAATTCAAATGAAGTACTCTTTCCACAGGCTTCCTATGAGAGCTATTTTGCCAGGTTAACCCCTTCTTCTCCACCTTTTTGACTCATTTCCTTCTTTAATCTTTCATATTTACCTATCAATGTTTTTGGAAAGTATGTTTTTCCAGGATCTCTGTCTTCTCATTCCTGAGACAAAAATACCTGACATCCACAGTTAAATGGGGGGAGAGGTTTATTTGGCTCACAGTTTGTAGAGGTTTCGGGTCATAGTTGGCTGACTGTATGACAGGGTGGCGTGATAGAGGGGCATCACAGAGGGAAAATGGTCTATGATGGGCAGAGGGCAACAAAGCAGTGTAGTAGCAAAGAAACCGTCTTCCTTTTATCCTTCCAGGTCACCTGCCTTTTGGGTGTTGCACCCTTAATTCCAGCATCACACACCCTAGATCCAGCCAGTTCCCACCACTCCCTCCTATGAGCATGTAGCCCTTGGGGGACATCTAGACACGGCCATAACACAGGGCCCTCTTTTCTTCATGCTGACTGCAGTAATCTCTTTGCATCCTCCTCATTGGTCACTTGTCTCCAACGCAGAATGGCTAAAATATATGTCCTCACCTCCTTGTTCCGGAAGCTGTTAACAAGTCTCTGTTGCCCCCTACATTGAATTGGACTGGAGCTCCTCTGTGACTCCTCTGGGATCTTTTACCTTTTTGCTACTTCTGCATTTTCCTTTACTAACTTTGTTTTTGTACTCCTGTTTTTTTAATTCAAAAATTCAAGATGCTTTAAAATACAAAATAGCTTCATTAATAAATAATTTATATACACTTGGAAATTTTAGGAATTGTATTATTTTCATCTGACAAAATATGTATTTAAATAGTTTCCTTGTATTAAAAAATATAAAAACATTAATAGAAAGATGTTGCTATAGTTTTTTAATAGAGGTCTCCATTTGCAGTGTCGTAACAATAACAGAAGAATTTGACCCTAGTCTCATCCCAAAATAATGCACATTTTGTAA